TACCAAAAGTGTTTTTAAAGACTTGCAGCATTAGGAAAGTTGAGAAACACTTACTTAAAAGATTTAGCACACAAACATTCCATTTAAAGACGTATGGCCTGAATTGTAATTCTACCTATAATGCATTCACATGGATTTCAAGTTATTTGTAGTCTCACACAAAGGTGTGCATACAAATTAGAAAACAGGTCCACATTGAAAGGAGGGGTAAATTGGAAAGATACATTTTACCTCAGTGAAACATGTAAAGCCTTCTTAGATAATGATAGGAATGGCTGTAACTAGGAATCCACAAGGACGACCCCAGATTCGACTACTAGCAATAGAGGTGAGGTTATCTGAACTGGCCCACCCTGGTAATCAGATTGGTGAATACCCTAATTGTCATCATAGAGCCTTCATACAGTAACTGATGGAAGCAGATGCAGAGATCTTCAACCAAGCACCTGGCCGAGCTCAGGGAGTCTAGTCAAAGAGGGAAGAGGGATTATATGAGCAAGTGGGGTCAAGATCATGCTGGGGAAATCTACAGAGATAACTGAAACAAGTTTATAGGAACTCATGAACATTAGGCTGACAACTGTGGACCCTGCATGGGAGCAGACTAGGCCCTCTGCATATGGGAGACAGTTGTGTAGCTTGGCCTGTTTGATGGGCCCCTGACAGTGGGATCAGGATCTATCACTGGTGATTGAGCTGGCTTTTTGGAGCCCATTATCTATGATGGAATGCTCTGCTCAACCTTGATGCAGTGGGTAGGAGCTTGGTCCTTCCTCAACTGAATGTACCAGGCTTTGCTGACTCCCCAAGGGAGGCTTTACACTTTTAGAGGAGGGAGTAGAGGGTGAGGGACGAGGGTATCGGGAGGAGGGATGAGAGGAAGATCTGTGGTTGGTATGTAAAATGAATAAAAAAAATTTTTTAAAGAATGGCTGTACCTAGATCTCATAACAAGTTTATTATCATTTTGAGAAAAAACATGATATTTGGCAGATAGAAGATGTGTCTGTCCTCCAAGACAGCATGACACACATGGTAAATACATGTGCTGTACCTGCTGGGTAGAATGAAATGAAATGTAATCGAAGGACCAGATATTTTATTCCAGTGTGATGGCTCAGGGAACTCCATTTTATGTTAGGCATCCATCTTGATACCCACTAGTCATTTTTTCTCTGACTCCAGTCTCTAGAAGATAAATTCCTAGTAACCTTGTTTCAGTGACACCCGCTCACCCAAAAATGTACAGACATGACTATCTACTTGTTATGATATGACTGTTTTTTTTAATTCTGTAACTTCCTTATGCAGATACCCAAAGATGGTTTTGAGTTGCCTTAACCTATAAAGTTGGCAGAACAGAGAAGTTTCTGCTTGCTTGCATAGACATTGAAGGTCTTGTGGTTTTCCTCTGTAAAAACCTTCCTCATACTCTTCCTGCACAGCAGTCTCAAATTTGGCTTAGAGATTGTTCATCTTGCTAGCAGCTAATCAATAAATCTTTTAAGTATAATTCTATTGAGTCTATGTTCTTTTCCCAGTGATCACAAACTCCATAACACTAGGTGTTTTCTACTAACGTACAACTGCTTATAGCAGTGTGCAATGATGGAAAATTTTAGAGCCCCTGAAACCTTTTCTCAGGCAGTGACTGATCTGGGATTGTAACTGTGTGTTCATATTGGAGACAATTTTCTGTTTATTCAGAGAAAACACCAACCCCACCCCCACCCCCCCCCACCCCCATCCCCACGCGCGCATGCGCACACGCACCTTCTTCCTCTTATCAGTCTGGAAGCCATCCATTTCCTGAGTTGTGAGCTTGTGAGGCTATCATTTAAAACTTCATTCTTAACCTCATGATGCCTTATGAAGACCAATACCCATTATGTTCTCTGTTCTTAACTCCATTGAAAGCTCTTGTTCCCATCCCAAGGTCCTTTGTATAAATTGTTTGAATGTCCTGTGTTTACATTAAGCAGCTCTTTGTGTAATGTATATGTTAGGCCCTTGTATGAAGAAAGCCTAAATATTTACTTCACTTTCTTAGCTACCATTCTTTTTTTTTTCTATACTTTTCTGACCTGCAGAGCTATGAAATCCCTTTGTCGTTTTTCCTGTTTAATTTCTGGCCTCCTGGAATCCCTTTCAGAGTGTGTTTGTTTATTGCTAAATAATTAAGTATTTAATCATGTTTTCCTCTAGCACTTTTAGCATTTCAGCTTTCCCAGGAAGTTTCTTGATCTAGTTTGTATTGATTTTTGTGTAGGGTGAGAGATATAGATCTAATATTACTTGTCTATACGTGTGTAATCATTTTTCCCAGCACAGAATGTTCAAAGCTCTCTCTCTTTCTGGGTTTGTTTCTTATGGATTTGGCTTACTGTACCTTTCTGTTTTGTGTTTCTTTCTGGGATCTCTGTTCTGTTCAGTTTTCTACATGTTTCTTTATATGTAGGACCATACTGTCTTTGTCCTTGTCCTTCTGTGTTATGATATATGTAAGGTCTTGTGATACCCCAGAAATACTCTTTTTAATGATAATTTTGATACTTATGATTTTCCTGTGTCCATGTAACTGTTTCCATATCTTCATTTTTGGAAAATATCAGTATTTGCTTATGGGATTGCATCAGTTCTGCTGGTTGCTGTTAGTAATATAACCATGTGTAGGATAGTTTCATGTCAACTTGACATGGTTATCAGAGAGGAGGGAACCTCAATTGAGAAAATGCCTCCATTAGATCTGGCTGTAGAATTTTTTTTTTAAATTAGTGATTGATGGAGGAGGGCCCAGATCATTGTGGGTAGTGGGCTGGTGGTCCTTGATTATATAAGAAAGCAGGCAGAACAAGCTATTGGAAGCAAGACAGTAAGCAGTACTTCTACATGGCTTCTGCATTGGCCCTTGCCTCCAGGTTCCTGCCTTGTTCATATTCCTGTGCTGATTTCCTTCAGTGATTAACAGTAATCTGGAAGTGTGAGCTAAATAAATTCTTTCCTCTCCAATTAGCCTTTTGGTCTTGAGTGTTTCATCACAGCAGTAGAAACCTTAACTAAAATAACCCATATACACCTTTTATTCATCAGTCTGTGTGCATAGAAGTCCATTTCTTTGTGTACCACTACTTTTCATTTTTTTCCTGAGTTCCTTAAAAATTTCTTTATAGAAATGAATTCATCATTACTTAATGTTGTTCGTAGATCTTTTGGAACCAACCTGAATGGCTTAAATTTCTAAATTACTTTTCAAATTGTCATTATTAATAGAGAAAGTAGTAATTTGCATCTTAGTTTTGTTCTTTTCAATATTTTGTGAAGCATTTAGCAAATCAAAGATATTCTTTTGGTGATTGTGATGATTTTTTTGTGTGATCACATCATCATTAAGTGGAATTTGGTGCCTTTCCTACCTGTTGTCCTTAATTATTTTTTAAAAAATTTTTTAAAATTCATTTTACATACAAACCACAGATGTCCCTCTCCTTCCTCATCCCTTCCCCCTAAAGTTCCCCCCTCAACCACACCCTATTCCCTCCTCCAAAAGGGTAAGACTTCCCATAGGGAGTCAGCAAAGCCTGGTACATTCAGTTGAGGAAGGACCAAGCTCCTACCCACTGCATCAAGGTTGAGCAGAGCATCCCATCATAGATAATGGGCTCCAAAAAGCCAGCTCAATCACCAGTGATAGATCCTGATCCCACTGTCAGGGGCCCATCAAACAGGCCAAGCTACACAACTGTCTCCCATATGCAGAGGGCCTAGTCTGCTCCCATGCAGGGTCCACAGTTGTCAGTCTAATGTTCATGAGTTCCTATGACCTTGTTTCAGTTATCTCTGTAGATTTCCCCAGCATGATCTTGACCCCACTTGCTCATATAATCCCTCTTCCCTCTTTGACTAGACTCCCTGAGCTCGGCCAGGTGCTTGGTTGAAGATCTCTGCATCTGCTTCCATCAGTTACTGTATGAAGGCTCTATGATGACAATTAGGGTATTCACCAATCTGATTACCAGGGTGGGCCAGTTCAGATAACCTCACCTCTATTGCTAGTAGTCGAATCTGGGGTCGTCCTTGTGGATTCCTGGGAAATTCCCTAGCACCAGGTTTCTACCTTATTCCATAATGTCTCTCTCTATCAAGATATCTCTTTCATTGTTCTCCCAGTTTGTCCCTCCCCTATGTCAATCATCCCATTCCTTCATGTTTTCATCCCCATCCCTTCCCCTTTCTTACCTGCCTTTCCTACCTGTTTCTCCCTAATTCTTTATTCTTATTCAAAATTGTCCACATGACTCTTAAGCCTCTAAATTCAGTAAGACTGGAGAACACATGCATCTTCCTCTCTTTTTTAGTTTTCCTGCTAATGCTGTTCATTTTTTTTCTCTGCACTGTACTGATGGCCTCAGTGTAACACATCTTTTACTGTGTTCACCTGTTTTCCATTTCTTCCTGTTTCCTTGGGAGTTTATCATTAAATCTGTTGAAGTTTGTCTTGTGACATAACCATTACTACTTGGATTTTCATATCATAAGTCTTTCATTCATGATTTTATATTTAATATTCTGGTGGGTAAAATTAGGGGTAATAATCTACTTCTAGTTAGAAATGGTAGTTTGCTGGTTTTGTTTTGAACATAGTATGTTATTCCCCAGCTCTCTTATGTATCTATTCCTTATGTAAAATGCATTATTTCCTGTGTTCTCATGGCTAATTTCTCTCTGATTTTTCTATGTATACTTTGCCTATAATTATAATCTACAGTGCTGCTTGAGTGGATGACCTTTGTTGTTTTATAGCCCTCTTCATTTGCTCTTCCTTCTCTGTGAATTTTAAGAGCCCATGCTTCTGGGTGCAATGATAAGGTTCATAATCAGTTTCTTTCACCTTTCATTTTTTCCTGTATGTAGGATCCCTGACAGGATTTCTGGTATCATTTTGGTTTGGGGTTCTTTTATGTGGTTTGGCATTGTCCATAACAGAGTTCTATTAATTTTAGCTTTGTATCTTTGACACCTTGATGTGAAATTTCAACAAGAATTCCAGTCATTGTTTCTGAGACAGAAACACAGAGAAGAGCAACAAGAAGAATGAATGCTTCTGTGATAAATGCTCCTCAGGTCAGTGTCAAGCCCACATTTCTCTGAAAATTGTTTTTGTGATTGAAACCATTCAAGACTTTAATTCTCTACCTTTGGAAATGTTATTGAAAGTGTTTGTTTTCTATTATCTTTTTTTCTTCTCTGATAATCAAGATTAGGTCTTTAAATCTTTCACCAATATAGCAGAAACAGGTCCCATTATATTTTCACTCAGTTTTATACTGTGAGGACACGCATTTCTATGGACTTAGAGTTCTGAAGCAGAATCTTTTGTAAATGATGCTCAAATAAATAGATTGATGGCCAGTTTTTACATAGGATGGACTTGTGTCCTTTCATATTAATGAGGAAGGAAGGTCTCAAGTACCACATTGATTGCATTTCTGGAATGGTCAGTGTTCCAGAAACAGGCTTATGAACGTGGACATACCACTACAAGGACCTTTTCACTGACATCACTGAGCAATTTATGGCAAAGTAGAATTGGAAGAGATCCACTGGACTGAAACCTAATAGTAAATATTCCAGCATATTTGACTTGTTCTTGCCAGAAAATTGATGTGTCTGTGAGGAGATGCAGATTCCAATATTCTGGTTTCTCTTTTTGCCATTTTATGTCACTCAATAATGATGGGTATTTTGACACTTGAAATATATTTGTCTCTGGAGAGGTTCTATTCAATGCTCAATGGTAAGCTCTCTTTAGGAAGATTATTATTTTCTCTTTATATTTTGTTCCATTTTTCAGGCGGAGAGTAAGCATTGCTGTCTCCACCTTTGTATGACATCATGTGGAATATGTTAGAATTTTCTAGAGAGTATTGACTTGGTGCTTGGTGCACATAAGCTGTCAATTTTCAAGCATTTAAATGAATGTCTCTCTTAATTACTTTACTCTCTTCCGTTGGAGAAAGAAGGCTCCATCCACCCTATGATTTCCCTTTTTCTAACGCTTTATATTACAGGGGAGAAATCCTGTAAAAGTTGTGTCAGTGTTTTTATTTCTTTCTTTACAATAGTATTTTGTTTATATACATACATTTTCATCTGCGTATTTTATATACACTGCATAATGAATTATGCCCCTGGTCAGAGTCAAACCCTTGGTATGGAACTCAGGCACTGTAGTGATCTGCCATGTGTGTAGAGAGTATTAAATTAGGTGTCTCTGCAGTAAAGTGCCTTTCACCAGTGAGCCATTTCTCCAGGCCCCAGGTTTACATTTCTGGTGCACACTTGTGACAGAGACAGTGTATATACTTATCTATGCCACCTAAAATCCTGTTAGATGAATGAAATCAAAGACTGAAGAACATAATACAGTTGAAATTTCAAGATTTAAATTTTTAATTGAGTCAATCACATGAGCAAAAACATTCAAAATTAATGAAAAGTTAGTATATTTCTCAGTCAATTTAATACATTCATTTTGATAAAGAAAATGTCTCTACTTCATCTGAATGCATTGTCACATTTATTTACACATGTATTTCTAATTGTTCTGTAGTGAAACACCATATGGGATTCTTGAAATTGTTATTATCAGTACTGCTTGTGTCAACATTTAGAAAAATTAAAATAGCATTAATGTTGGCTAATTCTCCTTTTTCTATTTACTTCATGGTTGTGAAAGTGTCTCATAAAATAACTTCAAAATTTATTTGATTTTATGTGATGTTTGGAATGTTAGATGTATGCACCGATTTTACATTCCTCATCCTTTAAAGAAAAACTCTGACTTTTAATTCATCCATGAATTCTGCATTCTGTATTCTGCCTCTTTGTTCAAGACAGGGTGCAGAAAGGCATTGTACCTATGCCTCAGGATCAGAACTGAGCAGTTTAAAATAGTTAGTTGAGACCCAGCTATAGACAGGATTGATCTAGTGTACATATTTGAGCAAGTTCAACAGCTACAGAATTCGGAAGCATACTTTTGCTCATTATAACTTGACCATCTGAGATGTGACACTGGGATCATGTTTGATATCAACACATACTTCATAAAGGTACATCTAGACCTCAAATATGTATGTTTTATTCCCTGAAAGTTTGCTGATTGTGAGACTATCATGTTGTCCTGTTTTCATAGAGATAGAAAATACAATGAAGGTGGTAAATATTTTAGAAAGTCTTTTATTAAAATTAAATTGTAATTTTATTTTATGTATTTCAATATATTTGCCTGAATATATATGTGTGTGTTATGTGTGCCTCCTGCCTATAGGGTTCAGCAGAGAGCATTGGATCTCATGGATCTGAGATTAAATTCTGTTTTGTAGTGCCATGAGGGTGCTAGAACTCAAACTTCATTTTCAAGGAGTTTAATAAATTACAGAATGCAAACTGAAGACAAATTTTTCAAATGTAGTGATTGTGGCAAATCCTTTATCTGCTGCCCAGATCTTAGAAAAACATCAGAAAATTCACAGAGAAAGAGTTTATGAATGCAAGCAGTGTAGTAAGTCCTCTACATTGTCTCTGAAAAATGGCATGCTTAAGTTCTGACACATCTGTGTAGCACTTCTAGAAAACTTCTCTCTTTGAAGAATTGCCATGGCACATATATGTCACAAAAGTGTTTCTAATTCTTTAGGTCTCTTTTACCAAGAAAAAATATATCATTTTGTCAAGTAGCACATGGTAAATATGTATTTTTCTATTGCAGAGTCTGTTATCATTCAGGGATGTGGCTGTGGATCTTTCACAGGAGGAATGGGAGTATCTAGACTATGATCAGAGGACATTGTACGTGGATGTAATGTTAGAGAATTACAGCAATCTAGTCTTTGTGGGTAAGAATGCTCTTGTAGAAAACCTCATCCATTGTTTGTATTTACCTACTTTGTGTATTTGCAAACTCTCTGAACCTAGAGAATTCCAGAAATGAGGAAAATTCTAGTTACCAATATCACTTTTTAATGGTGCTTCATTTACATTTTTCTGTGTTCTCTGGAAGAGTAACCAATGCTATATTCTCTGTGATCTCTTCAGCCCTCCTATCTACTATGTAAAAAAAAAACTTCAAAGTTCAAAGAGTATTGAATATTCAGAATAAGGAAATATATTGCAGTATTAAAAATAAGAATATTTTTATTTCACTACTAGTTTAAACTATTCACCTATTTCTGATTATAAACACTAAAGAAGGTTTTAAATAGAGAAGGAGTTGTTTGTTGTGTGAAAATAATTTTATTTATTTTTGAGATGTGATTGCTATGTTTAGTACTGGCACAGCATCATTTTAAGTTCTGCATGTTGAAGAGGGAGGGCATGGTGAGTTCCATGCCAACCTGGGTTACATGGTGATTTCCTAGGTACACTGTGTGACTGTCTCAAAAGCATAAGAAACATAGGAAAACATTCTTCACATGATCCTTCACAGAGCCTCTTTCTCAAAATTCTTTACTACTTGAATGCCTATTTGTCCTCCCTGCTGCAAGGTACAGGGTTTAGATAAGAATGAGAAGGCCATTACGCATCCCTGTGGTTTGATATAGATCAGATTGGAGGTTCTTATGAGCATCCATTTAATGATTGTGAAATACAAAATGCCTGTTGGGAACCCTGTCTCTGACAACTGCTAGTTTATATGTCTAAGAAAACATCAGTTATTGAACTGCTTATTCATGCATTAATCCTTATTATCTGTAATTGCACTAATTTTCCAGAGAATCATCGCGTATGTGGTAAATATGAGAAAGGCTTGGATCAAGGCACAAAGCATATTGCCCATGAGGATGTGATTATCCAAGAGAAGTCATATAAATGTAATGAGCTTGGCAACATGATTGATGAATCCTCTCAATGCACATCTTATGAAACAAGTGATACTGCAGAATATTGCAACAAGTACAGATTTGGTATCCACAGAGATGCTTCTGTTGAAATATACGTAAACAGACATAAAAGTGAGAACACTGGAGAAGAACCTTGCAAATATAAAGAGTCCATAAACTGTTTAAATTTGTGTTCTATCACTAGCCAAAATCAAGGAATTCACACAGGGAAGCAACACAAAAACACAGAGTATGATACATCTTTTGACTCCAAAACTAAAATCATGCTGAAACGAATCTATAGTGGAAAGAAGCCACACCAATGCAGGAAATGTGGAAAATGCTTCAAGATGGACTCAAGCCTCAGTGGACATCAGATTGCTCATACTGGAGAGAAACCCTATAAATGTACAAAGTGTAGTAAATCCTTTCTGCATTTGTCCCAACTCAAAGTCCATTACAAAATCCATTGTGGAGAAAAACCCTACAAATGTACAGATTATGCTCAGTGCTTTTCTCATACACCTGACATTGAAAGACATTACAGGATCCACAGTGGATCAAAGACTCACAATTGTAATGATTGTGGCAAATTCTTTATGAGTGCTTCATCTCTTAGAACACATCAGAGAATCCATACAGGAGAGAAACCTTACACATGTAGCAAATGTGAGAAATCTTTTTCCAAGAAAGACCATCTTAGAAATCATCAGAGAATTCATACAGGAGAGAAACCTTACAAATGTAGTGAGTGTGACAAATCCTTTATCGTGAAAGGCAATCTTAGAAGTCATCAGAGAATCCATACAGGAGAGAAACCTTATAAATGTAGTGAATGTGACAAAACCTTTTCAGTTTCCTCAAGTCTCAGAACACATCAAAGAATCCATACAGGAGAGAAACCTTACAAATGTGGTGAATGTGACAAATCCTTTATGAGTGCCTCGTCTCTTAGAACACATTACAGAATACATACAGGAGAGAAACCTTACAAATGTACCAAATGTGAGCAATCTTTTTCCAAGAGAGACTTTCTTAGAACTCATCAGAGAATACATACAGGAGAGAAACCTTACAAATGTAGTGAATGTAACAGATCCTTTACCCTGAAAGGCTATCTTAAATCTCATCAGAGAATACATACAGGAGAGAAACCTTACAAATGTAGTGAATGTGACAAATCCTTTATGTTTGCCTCATCTTGTCGAACACATCAGAGAATACATACAGGAGAGAAACCTTACAAATGTAGTGAATGTGACAAATCCTTTTCAGTTATCTCATATCTTAGAAAACATCAGAAAATACATACAGGAGAGAAACCGTACCAATGTAGTGAATGTCAGAAATCTTATTCCAAGAAAGACCATCTTAGAACTCATCAGAGAAGTCATACTGGAGAGAAACCTTACAGATGTAGTGACTGTGACAAATCCTTTTCTAAGAAAGACAACCTTAAAACTCATCAGAGAATCCATACAGGAGAGAAACCTTACAAATGTAGTGAATGTGACAGATCCTTTACCCTGAAAGGACATCTTAAAACTCATCAGAGAATACATACAGGAGAAAAACCTTACAAATGTAGTGAATGTGACAAATCCTTTACCCTAAAAGTCAATCTTACAAAGCATCAGAGAATACATACAGGAGAGAAACCTTACAAATGTAGTGAATGTGACAAATCTTTTTCCCAAAAAGACACTCTTAGAAGTCATCAGAGAACACATACAGGAGAGAAACCTTACAAATGTAATGAATGTGAGAAATCTTATTCCAAGAAAGACCATCTTAGAAGTCATCAGAGAATCCATACAGGAGAGCAACCTTACAAATACAGTGACTATGACAAATCCTTTACCCAGAAATTCACACTTAGAATTCATCAGAGAATCCATACAGAAGAAAACCTTACAAATGTAATAAATGTGACAAATCCTTTTCAAGTGGCTCAGATCTTAGAAAACATCAGAAAACCCATACAGGTAAGAAGCCTTACAAATGGAGTAGATGCAAGAAATCCTTTACCCAGAAAGGCAGTCTTAGAACTCATCAGATAATACCTACAGGAGAAAAATGTAGAAATGTAGAGAATGTGACAAATCCTTTGCTATTGGCTCGTTTCTTAGAACACATCAGAGACTACACACAGGAGAGAAACTTGAGAAATGTAATGTATGAGGAAAAGGCTGCTATACCTCCCAGTAAAGGAGTAGAGGATGATGAGAGAAAAGATTCCATAGGAAATAAAATGTGGCATGTACTTTATCCAAGCTCTGTCCTTAGCAATGCTCCACACTAAAAAATATGAACTTGAGAAACTTGTGAAAGTCTTTAAGTAATGTTCAGATCTTAGAAAAAACTCAAGTTTATGCTGAGGGAAATTCTGAAAATGTGGCAATATATGAAAATTTTCATTAAAACTTTTAACGTGTTCAACCTCAAATTCTTTGTAATGAAAACAAAACGGAGAAACTGCAGTGTATGTTGTTGTATAACAATTTCCTGGAGACTGGAATGATTCATTCTGAGGGGAAGCTGATTAAGGCAGGAAATACACCACTCAAAAGAGCTTCAAGAAATCTCTGAAACTGACAGGATTCAGCATGCTTAACTGAAGTGAAGAAACTCAGACAAACCATGCTGCTTAGAATGGGATTTGAGCCACCAAGATAGGATACTCTTTAACCTGTAGAAATGCTTACAGGTATGCAGTATTCTCTGGTTGTGCTTTATTCATAAGCTTTTTCACATGCTGGTTTCAAGTTTCATGATAGCAACTGTGTTTGAGTCTCTTGTGTTCCTTATCATAAGCAACTCCTTCCCCATACTGCTATATGCAGTTCCAGTAAAGCTCATTGATTCAAAAAGTTGGTCTTGATTTTGTTTTCCATTCTTAGTTGTGAGTAGATTCATATGCATGTTGCGTCTCCCCAGAAATAGTGTCTCATAGACCATATCTGTTGGACTGGGAGTTTGTTGGAGTCCACCTCTGACCTGTTGAAGGGTTCTTTGCAGGGGAAGAAAGAGGAATAAGGAAATGATAGACAGAAAAAAATGATAAGAAAGTCACAGGACACCAGGCTGTGTTGGCGCACGCCTTTAATCCCAGCACTCGGGAGGCAGAGGCAGGTGGGTCTCTGTGAGTTTAAGGGCAGCCTGGTGTGCATAGCGAGATTCTGGAAAGACGCAAAGTTACACAGAGAAGTCCTGTCTCGAAAAAACCAAAAAACAAAACAAAGCAAAAAAGTCACAGGATAGCTTTGAGAGAGCCTTGGGTCAATACCCGGTCACCTCAAGGTTTGTTCCAAAGGGCTTTTTATACAATGCCAAGGGTCAAGGCAAAAGACCTTCCCTATCAAGATCAAAGCACAACATACAGCCAAGTGTAGACCCTTCAAAACTCCTGGTAAACACTCCCATGGCCAAATCATCCCATTATGCAGCCCTGCTGGATAAAGCAAGCTCAGATTCTCTGACCCTGAGTAATTTGGGCCCCCACAAATTCCCCCTTCTTAATGTAAAGATCTTAAGTGGAAAGCTCTGATTCAGCTTTCCACTAAGAGCTTGAAAGTAGCTGGAATAATCATAGCAATACACCTGCTCCTTATGGCTGCTATACCTCCCAGTAAAGGAGTAGAAGATGATGAAGATGGAATGGCCTTTTTAAATGGATCTAAGATGACTACAGCAGTCTTAGCTGCACCAAGCCCTTTTTTTTAAATTAATAAATTCTTGATGCAGCCGCATCAAGGAAATAAGTAAACTCTTGATGCAACCACATCAAATCTAAGGACTCCTTAGCATCACCATTAACATTAACAGGTTAACATCATATTTCTAACATGAATATTAGTATACATAATTACAATTCTCACAAAGTTACATCCAAAAACAAACTCTTAAATAGAACTATTTACACTTATTGCTAACAAAACATAGGTTACATTAACACAGGCTAATATTAATCCACTCAAGGGACAAGAAAAAAATTTTTTAGTTATACTGAGGAATATAACAACTCTCCTTTACTTTATATTTTTTGAAGCTTCATCTTGAGCCTGGGTAGAAAAAAAAATGACTTCTGCACAAACAGTTCATGAGTCACCACAGTTAACAAAGCATATATGCATGCACAAAACAATTCATGAGTCATCACAGTTGATACTTCTGTGTGTGTGTGTGTTTGTGTTTTGTGTGTGTGCGCACGTGCGAGTGCATAGGTGGGATCAAAACTGTCCCATTGCAATTGAAGCATTCCTGTCCCTCCCATTTCTTAATTCTGAAAAATTCAAAAAGTCAGTTCTGATACTAGTGTTTTTTTGTTTTGTTTTGTTTTGTTTTGTTTTTTTAGGTTTCCAAGACAGAGTTCTGTGTAACAGTCCTGGCTGTCCTCGAACTCACTTTGTAGACCAGGCTGGCCTTAATTCATTATTACTTGGACAGCTTTACAGACTTCAGGACAGCTGACAAGCCAGACCTTGATCTTGAGCTTTCACTAATACTAGTCTTAATGTTCCCCTGAAGGCTCAAGATCAGGGCCTGGCTCATCACCTGTCCTGAAGTCTTTGTGTAGCTGTCCAAGTCATAATGAATCTGAAGCAAAAGCTCCAAATATGAAGAGTCTCATACCAAAATTTGTTGCACTTCCCTTGCAGGCAACAACCCTAGGTCAAAGAAGAGTCTCTGAAACTTTTGTTCTCAGCTACAGAGACACTTTTGACTGGTAGCCTTACCCTAGGAAATTTGCTCCAGGGCGAAGGTGGTTGTCACAGTAACTTAACTGCTGCAGACCTCTTGAAAAAGACATCCATTAGCCAGCATGATGCATTTTTTCACAGCCAGTAAACAGAAGCTGCACGGCTTTGGCTGCTGGCTCCATTCCCATTTGCCTTTTCTAACAGTCCTGGTCACTTCTCCAGGCCACAAGTCCACTGTGTCATGGGGCCTAAAGTCTTTCAATCACCTTGTGCTGCTAGGGCTCAAAGGAAGGAAATTCAGTTGTGACTGCTGCATTACTGGCTCTGCCAGTGGCCTTGCATCCTCTGTATGATGCCTTGCTTGCATGGCCAAATGCCAGCCCCAGGGCAGCCCATGGCTCTGCTTCACCCTTTCGCTGGGAGCCCAGCCTGGCTTGAGTTTCAGAGTGTTTCACCCAGGCATTCTGTCAGCCAGCAGTTTCCCCTGGGTCCACAGCACTACCTCTGCTGTGGTCTCACCCTCGGGATGCTGCTCTGCAGGGCTTCCACTGCTAACTTCTACTTGTGGTAGTCAGGCCTACCTTAGTGTCTCCAGAACATATGGCCAGCTGGGCACACTCAGGCTTCTGTTCCCTTGCCCATCAGGTGCATACCCCAAGGACATCTTTCTCTGGAGGCTTTGTCTCATGCAGTGGCTAAGGCACCCTGTGCACTCACCCTCCAGCTGCCTATTTGGCTCTCTGCCCACACTCCCTAGGGGTATCCCTCACTGGGCTCTGGCCGCTGACAACAGACCTACTCTGGTCCCTGGGGTCCTATGTCTCTGCTGCACTCCCGCTGCTGCTGATGTTAGCCATTTGCCTCTCTTGAGGCATCTCTGCTCCTCTCAACAAGGTTGGGGAGCATAGCCTCTACCCATGTCAGTCTGGCTCTACTTACCGAGGCTTCTCAGCAGAAAGCACACAGATCCCTGCTGCTTGCGCTGGCTCTTTTCAGTCTGTTGCCTGTGAGAATGACGCCCCACGGGTATCAACCACTGATGCTTGGTCAGCCGTTGCTCCTGATGCTGCTGCTTGTGATAGGGTCTTCTGAAGCTAATGCTCACCCTCAGACCGCCAAGTCCACAGTGGCTGCTCAGTCCCAGACTCTGCTTTCTGCGTCCCAGGTCCCACTCTAGGGAAAACCTACTGTAAGTTAAACCTATTAAGCCTAAGTCTTCACCATATCTCTGTACCTAAAGCTTATATTTCTCAAACCTCACCAAAACTTTTATGACTTAATTATATACAACTTTTAGACCTAACTTAGTAGATAGAGAGAGAGAAACAGAGACAGATACAAAGAAAGATACTTGCCTCAGCTTAACCTGAACTGTGCTTTATATTTACAATTTTACTCCTGAAGAAAAGAACTTCACTGCCTCAATTAATTCTGAGCATGCCAACTTAACTTGCGGTGTTCCTTCGCTTTATCCTCTCTACTCAAGTTCCACGTCTGGGTGCCATATGTGGGAGTCTGCTGGAGTCCAGCTATGACCTGTTGAAGAGTTCTTGGGGGAAGGAGAGAGGAATGAGGAAATGATAGATAGAAACAGTCAGAAAGACAGAGACACCGGGCCCTCAGTCGATACCCAGTCACCCCAAGGTTTATTCCAAAGGGCTTTTTGTACAATACCAAGGGGCATGGCAAAAGACCTCCCCCATCAAGATCAAAGCACAACATACAGACAAGCATAGATCCTTCAAAACACCTGGTAAACATGCCTGTGGCCAAATCATCCCATTATGCAGCACTGCTGGGTAATGAAGCTCAGATTCTCTGACCCTGAGTAATTTGGGACCCCACACTGAACCCAGAAAGTGTTCCTCCAAACTTGTAAACAGAAAATTGATATTAGAGCCACAGTTAGCAACTTGTGGGTCTCATACTTCATGGGAGTTGCCTAAGACACAGGAACACATATTTCCGGTGGTCTTAGCAAGTGAGACACTGCTCCTGTATCCAACTCCAGGTGGGTCAGCCCACATGCAGATACTCACATAAGAGTACTTGTAACTGCATTGAAAGTTTCCATTATTAGAAAAGTTGGAGCCGGGCGGTGGTGGCGCACGCCTTTAATCCTAGCACTCGGGAGGCAGAGCCAGGCGGATCTCTGTGAGTTCGAGGCCAGCCTGGGCTACCAAGTGAGTTCCAGGAAAGGCGCAAAGCTACACAGAGAAACCCTGTCTCGAAAAACCAAAAAAAAAAAAAAAAAAAAAAAAGAAAAGAAAAGTTGGAAACACTGTATTAAGGAGAAGGCATTTGAGTCACAAAACATAGGTAAGATTGTGCTCAGTGCTCCAGGCTTACTATCATAGTAGTACTTGCTTAAGTTCAAAGAGCTCCACACATACAGAATGTAGAGGATTCGACCTCAGAAGGATGCTCTCTTGCTTGCCTTCAAGGAAGGGTGAAAGAGAGATCTGCAAAAGGACAAATGAAAATACAGCTTCCAATTGCAGTGACAGACATCCAAACTAGTTGTGTCCCTGAGTGACTCTGGACTCATGCTAGTACCCTACAACTCAACCAAACTCCAATGACCTTCAGAACAATGCTTCCTGTGGATAAATACTACAGTCTGTTGTGGTGTCCTTGGGTACTGCTGTACCTTAACACTCCACAGTCCCAAGAAATGAATTGTATTTCAACTCTATTTGTTAAAACTTTATACAATGTTAATATTATAGACATCTCAGAATATTCATCATGAAAAACTATAAAGGGCTTTGCTAAGGGCTTATCTTCAGCTTAATATCATGTGTGAGTACACCCATACAAATATCCTGAAACTTTTTTTTTTTTTTGGTTTCTCAAGAGTTTCTCTGTGTAGCTTTGCGCCTTTCCTGGATCTCACTCTGTAGACCAGGTTGGCCTCAAACTCACAAAGATCCGCCTACCTCTGCCTCCCTAGTGCTGGGATTAAAGGTGTGCGCCACCACTGCCTGGCGAAACTTTAAAGATATAATCTATGAACAAGACACAATGTACCTTTGCTTATGTACAGTTTAGAAATCTAGGGGTTGGGGATTTAGCTCAGTGGTAGAGCACTTGCCTAGTAAGCACAAGGCCCTGGGTTTGGTCCTCAGCTCCGGATTAAAAAAAAAAAAAAAAAGAAATCCCCAAGAGTGTGCTAGTATTCAATTTGAAATACGGAGAAAAGATGAAAAAAATATTTAGTCCAACTACAAAGCATTATATCAGAATATTGATCTTAAAAACAGGAAAACTCGCCGGGCGGTGGTGGCGCACGCCTTTAATCCCAGCACTTGGGAGGCAGAGCCAGGCGGATCTCTGTGAGTTCGAGGCCAGCCTGGGCTACCAAGTGAGTCCCAGGAAAGGCACAAAGCTACACAGAGAAACCCTGTCTCGAAAAACCAAAAAAAAAAAAACAGGAAAACTCAGAAATGTACTTTAGACAAACTGTGTTACAGTGATCAAATCCATATCACTACATAATTTTTCCACAGATTTTAATACAAAAAGAAAGTCATATTCAACTCATGAGAAACTACCAGTTGAGAACATTTTGATGTTCTCAGTGTTGAAGTTTGTTGAAACATGAGCTCATGGTTAGTATAATCATTACTAAATTCAGGGTATTATCTTCAAATAAAAACAGATGTTTCTGTTAGTTGGTGCTGCATCAGGAATGTTGGACCTGAGACAGCAGACAGTGTAGAGTTCAGTTTCTGGACTGGCCCTTAACAATCTGGAGACTGCAACCAGATGATACATTCTGGGGATTCCAAAGTTGAGTGTTCAATGGACCAAGGCTTCTCTGCTTCATGACCTTTAGATCATTATCCTAATTCAGCACAGATTTCAGGTGTCATGGTAAGTTTGTAAACTTGTGCACTGTGAACAGAAATCTCACCCTGTACCCCTCACAGTATTGTTTTCTTCATTCTGTAACCATTTATAAACATAATTCTTGTCTGTGGTGGCAGCAAGCATGCAGTCAAGCTGTAAAAAACAGGTTAGCCTATCAGCTGGAGCTGTGTGGGAGAGTGCATGGACAGAGAGGGGTATATGCAAATCAGGGGGGCAGGAACAATCACTATATATGAGAGATGATGTGATGGCAAATGAGCAGAGTTTCTGTGGGACTGGAACATTCAGCAGCATTTGTGGAAGAGCATGGTAAGAGCCAAATCACAGGAGCCTGATGGGCATTGCTAGAGGGATATCCAGGGCCTAAATTTTTAAGAACAAAGCAGTACTGAGACAGGATCTTGCAGGCACTGAAAACTCCCTTCAGCTCCAGGACACTGTTTGGGACAGCCTGGGGAACTCATGATTCAGCTGTGCCATGAGATGAACAGAAACCCAGTGAAGCTACATGGCTGGGAAACAGGCATATGGGACTGGACCAGAGGTGTGATCAATGTTTCTGCTGCTGAGCAGGGGGACACAGACTCTCAAAATTCTGTTGTGCATAACTCTCCCTTTGTCCGTAAACTAGATCTTATGAAATATGGCCTATCAAGATTCTTTTTATTTATCTTATGGTTGCCAGTTCTATTTCCAGAATAATCTGGAAGAGGATTTGCATTATCTCTTATATGCAAAACTGGTTCTCATGCTATTGTGTCCATTACAAAGATCTCAGAATTTCACCTCCAATGCTTTCTACCTTGACTCCCATACCACTTGCCTATTCAAGTAAATGAACCCTTTCAGTGGAGATTAAGTATACCCTGAGAGCTGATTGAAATTAGAACCATGAAGAACCAGAGCAGATTTGACTAAGTCAGAAAGTATAATTTACCAAGTTCCACAATAGTGGTAGAAGTCATTAGCATTTACAAAGCAAATTTTTACTCCGCATTAATTTTCCATCTGAGATGTATGCAAACTAGGATGTAAATACAGCATTCAGAAATGTGTCTTCATATGGTAAGTTCTTAATATTATACAATAGAGTGGAAAAGCACAGTATATATACTGTAAGAGAATATCAGGACACACTGTATTTACAGTTATAAAATGCACTATAGATTTGGACCAAATTGGAAAGCATGTTTTAAATTATTCTAATCATACAACTGTATTAGAAGAATTGACTTGAATTGTCTTTTGTCCCTTGGTCTAACAGAAACACTCTTCCTCTGGATGAATGGCTAAGTTGCCTTGGTGTTCAGTTTTGACTTCATTTTGTTGAATAAATATTTTAGTCTGTTGCCTTAGAATTTGTTTGAGAATTCACTATATAGACCAAGTCTGGACTTAAACGGGATCTACTTATCTCTGCCTCCTTCATGCTGGCATTATGGCACTGTACCAACACAGCTGGGTCAAACACTCTTAATTACATCATCTCATAAAATTGCAATTTTATGCCTGTGCACTTCTTTCAGGAGGAAAGGCAATGCCTAGACCCTGCTCAGCGGGCTTTGTATAGAGATTGGATGAAGAATTACAGCAGGCTAGTTTCTGTGAGTGCAAATAACTCTGTTGCAGTTTCTATTCCTCCTTTGGTTTCCAATGAAACCTTTGCATGTTTGTGACCTCTGTGTGAATGAGTCTCACATCTTACAGAGAATAGGTAGAACTTCAAAGAAGAAAAGAACATTGCATGATACTTTGTTCTTCATGTTCTTTTTGACAGATGTCAGGCTTCTTTTACTTTTGTTCCATGATAAGTTAAACTCAGTAGTGTAAAAATATTGTCATCTCTATCATTCAGTTCGGTGCTGGTGCCTGATTTTTGATTGAGCTCTGAATTAGGAGTAGTAGAAATCAAGTTATGCTAAGTGAAAATGCTCCCTAAGAAGTTTTAGTACTCTGACATTGCATGACAGTTGATGGATTTTTTTTGCAGAAAATCCTCTTATTTAATTTTCTCTTTATTTACAGAGCACAGTACTGTGTTAGAAATCCAAGTCTTTCTGAAGAATCTCTTTCTCCTACCCTGAGCTCACTGATAAGCCAGACTTGCTTACCTGTGAAGCAGAATAAAGAATGTGGAGAGAAAGCATACATTAGCAAATGTACCATGCATTTTGGAGAGTGTGAGGTAGGAGTGGTGAGAATTTCAAGTAACATTGGAAGTGGAATGGGGACAGGAGTTGGCTCAGCAGATAATAGCACTTGCTGTTCTTGAAGAGAACATGGATCCAGTTCCCACCACCGCATAATGGCTGACAACATTCATAACTTCAATTACAGTAGAATTGATGCCTTCTGACTCCAGCCCCAAGCAGACTACGTACTACATACATGCTGCCAAACATTGATACATGTAAGCTACAATAGAAGATCTAATACACTTTATAAAAACAAAAAATGTGCAAATAAGAAATGAGATTGGTTTTGCCACACTGTGCTTATCTAGAAATGAATCTGGAATAGTCTACTGTAAATATTGTCAAGATTATCTTATTATATATATTACTTTTTTGCTAGAATTAATACTAGGAGAAAATATAATGTATTTTACTGTGCATGTATCTTGTGTTCATGCAATTATATGAATTTTATTATTTTCATTCTAGGATACTGTAAAATTAGAAATATTCCTGTGTCTAACTTTTTTCCCTAATCTCCTAACTTTGATTCTTTCTGTGGTTCATTTAGATTTTATTTCTTTTGTTGTCATTTTTCCCATGTCCTAATATAATACCAGGACTTAAGAAATTTTCACTATTTCTGCATAGTATTAACCTTTGTCTATATTGTCTTCACACTGATATCTCTTGTTGTCTGTCTTCACACCATAATGCAATGCATTTTATTGCAATGATTTTAATATATTTTGAATCTTCATTTAATCTTCTGAAAGTTTTTGAACTCTTAAAGCTTTCACAAATTTTGTTATCTTTTTAGTATCACTTTGTTCATTTTGCAGAACTTGCCCATTTCTCTTGCAACAAATTGTAATATCTTTGGGAAAGGAAAACCACTGATTCTGTTTCCATTTTTTTAATGAGAACATGCTAGCCATGAGTCAGTATAAACATGCTGTATATGTATTTTTCTGTTGCTGTTTATATGCATGTTGATCAGTGAGTAATTTTTTCACTATTGCAAGAATGTGCTACAGTTACTCATATCTTGCAAAAGCATATGTAAGATATAGTTGTTTGTTTTTGAAGAAGCTACATACTAACTTGGATGGTAAATGCAGTTAGTTGAATTTCCACTAATACTGTGTGTCTGGATTCCTTCTGTTGTGTTTTCTGCAGGATTTGTTATTTTTTAGTACCATTAGTGTGGACAATGACTAGACAGAGATGGAATCTTGGTGCACATGAGTTGAAAATTTTCTTCATGACTAATGGTGTCTAGCATGAAGATTCCAGAGAGGAGATAGGTTTGAGGATGAATCAGTGGGAAAGACAAAATATGTGCAAACTGTAATTAGTGCTGATCACTGTCCAGCAGGAACAGGAACCTGAGTGGCAGACCTAGTTGGTCAGCATCCCTCATTTCATTGTTTCTTGCAAAAAGGAAATCATGGGTAGTTATAGAACAAAAGTAGTAACATTTGAAAGAAGGGAACCTCAATTGAGAAAATGCTTCTATAAGATCCAGCTGTAAGGTACTTTCTTAATTAGTGATTGATGGAAGAGGGCCCAGCCTATTGTAGATGGTTCCATCCCTGCTCTGGTGGTCCTGGTTTCTATAAGAAAGCAGGCTAAGCCAACCAGGGGAAGCAAGCCAGTAAGCAGCACCCCTCCATGGCCTCTGCATCAGCTCCTACTAGCAGGATTCTGCCCTGTTTGAGTCCCTGTCCTGACTTTCTTCAAAGTTGAACAGGTTTGTGAAAGTGTAATCCAAAGAAACCCTTTTCTCCCCAACTTGCCTTTTGTTCATAGTGTTTCATCACAAAAAAAAAGTGAAAGAATTCTCCATCTGTTCTTGAAAAGCTGAATAAGTGTGTGGGATGTTAACTCTTTGGAGCATCAGAAAACCTGTTATAAAGAGAGCAGAGGTGTGACCCTGTGATGCTGGACCTGATCCTGACTCAATGAAGAGTTTTTGTAGAGATAATGCAGAAGGCAGTTGCAGAAAGTTTCAGGTCTTCTCCTTTCATGACATTTCTTTGAGTTGGACTCACTAAATTTAACTAGATTTACCTGTCTGAGCTGGGGTTGGAGGTTACTTACTAGATCTTTAGTAACTCGTGAATAGCTCCCCCTGTGAAAAAGTGACACCCCTCCACTGTCTACTATGAACTTCGAGTAGACATTTGAGGAAGCTCCTTACCACAGGGGTCCTTCTTTCAGCCATGATGAAATGTTGACAGTCCTGGTCTCCTAAAGGATTGGACAGATGACCAGAGTGGCATAGTCAGGTCCAGAAGTGTTTCTGTGCATACTTGCCCCTACTCTTTGCTCTTCCATTCCTTCCACTATGTTTTCTTGGGTATTCCTTTGACCTGAACCATTAGGTTGCTGTGGGATGGTCTGTATGTCAAGTGTGTTGCTGATTGGTCAATAAATAAAACACTGATTGTCCAGTAGTCAGGCAGGAGGAAGTATAGGCGGGACAAGGAGAATAAAGCTGGGAAGTGGAAGGCTGAGTCAGAGACACTGCCAGCCGCCACGATGACAAACAGCATGTGAAGATGCCAGTAAGCCACGAGCCACATGGCAAGGTATAAATTTATAGAAATGGATTAATTTAAGCAGTAGGAACAGTTAGCAAGAAGCCTGGTACGGCCATACAGTTTGTAAGCAATATAAGTCTCTGTGTTTACTTGGTTGGGTCTAAGCAGCTGTGGGACTGGCAGGTGAGAGAGATTTGTCCTGACTGTGGGCCAGGCAAGAAACTAGCTACATCAGGTCATTCTTCAGTGACAGGCTCCTGAGCAGGAAGGTCCAAAGGATCAGAATAAAGAAGATAGAAAAATATTGGGATCAAAATATTTTGCAAAAGCTGTGTTAAGCAAGGTTATTAAGAAGTACAGGATCCTATATAGTTTTTCCAAAATTTAAAATTGAGACAGTCAGGACAAGCCTATCATACATTGAGATGAAATAAATGGAAATCCACTGAATCAGTGTTGCCCAAGGGGGCACAGGATATCTCAGCAGCATCAGAGAAAAGCACACAGCAACCTGAGGGCAGATATTCCCATCACCCTATGGTGCAAAAAGTTGGGTTTTCCAGGTCAGAATCCCCAACTCCAGAAGTCCCTGTCAAAAATATTCTTTGTTTTAGAGGAGGAACTGTTTGTTTTCTCCATTATCAGTGCCTCAAGGAAAGCTTTGGATTGATCTAGCAATCACAATTCCTTGATCTTTTGGGTGCAGGATGATATAGATGTTCTACTTACCACAGGGGAATATGGTATCATTTAATATCTCAGTTTAGTCCATTTTTCTTTACTTGTGTCTACACACTGCTATAAGAAGATTAATTGATGAATCCTGAGCATTCCACTTTACTTTGAATGTAAGCAAGTATTTTCAAGGAAGTTTTTCATCAGGTTATTTTGGGAAAACTACAATAGTGTTTGCCCTCCTCCCCTATAATGCCTATGACCTACCATACTACATGTTTCTGACCTGGTTTCAAAACCTGACATGAATTCTCTCTCCAAGAGGGAGTCTAAAATTCAATAATAAAATGTATTACTGTAATTGTTTCATCTCTGTTGCTTTCATAAAGCACCATGACCAAGGAAACCTAAAAAGAAAGAGCTTACATTGGCTAATGGTTCCAAAGGGCTAAGATCCCATCATGGCAGGGAAGCATGATGGCAAGCAGCCATGTTGGTGGAATATTCAGAAAGCTGAGAGATCACATTCTGAAGCACAATTTGTAATATGAATCTTAAATGGTCTTATTAATAGAAAAAACCCTGGGGTTTGGTGATTTAGCTCAGTGGTAGAATGCTTGCCTAGCAAGCGCAAGGCCCTGGGTTTGGTCCTCAGCTCTGAAAAAAAAAAGAAAAAGAAAAGACCTGGAGCCAGATATTGAGATGAAAGCTGAAACATCAGAGAAACAGAACAAGCCAGCCACAAGCTCTTACCTCTAGGAAATCCTCAGTCTCAAGACAGTGAGTTGTTTTCTCACACATTTTCTACCTATTTCTGCTCTGCCATCTTACTTCCTGGGATTAATGGTGTGTGTGCCTCCCAAGCAAAGGCCTGAAATCTCAAGTGTTGGGATTAAAGGTGTGTGCCACTATACCTGGTTCTGTTCCCAGTGTGTCCTTGGACTCACAGAGATCCAGACAATCTCTGTCTCCTGAGTCATAGGATTAAGAGTGTGGGCCATCACTGTCTGGCCTCTATGTCTAATCTAGTGACTGACTCTGTCCTCTGATCCCCAGATAAGTTTTATTGGGGTACATAATATATCACAACAATCATTAAGTAGAAAGTCCAAAGTAAGCTAGCTCAAGGCCTTTTTTCTCAGAGATTCTGCCCCAGTGACATACTTTCTCCAATGATTCTCCAACAACTAATCTGCCCAAAATATTTTGACCAGCTTGAGACTTAGATTTCAAATACATGAACCTACAGGGAACATTGTCATTCAAACTACAAACCAGCTTCCTAATATTCAGACTACCAGGTTACTCTCTTCCTTGAATGCATGGAGTTTTCTACAGGGGAAAAATGAAAATACAGCTACAAAACTATGTCAGTGAGAGACATCATCCAAATTGGGCTGTGCCCCTGCTTGACTTTGAACTCATGCTACTACCCCATGATTCAACCAAACTCCAATGACCCTTAGAACAATGCCACTCATAGACAAATACTACACACCATTTTGATGTCCTTGTGTACTGTTGTATATAATAATTGTACACTTCAAGAAATGCAGTGAATTTAAGTTCTTTTTGTTAAATCCTTTACACAATTCTAATATTGTAGCATTTCAGGAAATTCATCATGAAATAATAAAGCTCAATAAAATGTTTTAATAAACAGTTTATTTATCTTAATTTCATTTCTGAGTCATTCTGTACAAATAACAAGAAACTATAAATTTTAAAGACATAACCTATGAATAAGACAGCATCTGCATACTCATTTACAGCATAGAAATCCCCAAGAGTCTGCTGGAAGATCATCTTGAAGTACTTAAAAAGGATAGGGAAGTATTTACTCCAACTCCCAAGTACTATCTTAGAATACAAATACTAAAAAATTTTAGACCTTAATTGGGGCAGTGTGTTACAGTAAACAAACCTATACATTTATATAAATATTTCATGAATTTCAGTGTAAGAGGATAGATGAAGATGAACTCATGGTTAGAACAATCTAGAACAAATTTTGGCTCTTGTTATCAAATGACCACTTGTATCAATTGCTGCTGTATATCAGGGCTGATGAACCTGAGACAGGATACAGTGGAAACTAAAGATTTCTAGACTGGCCCTTAACAATATGGAGACTGCAAGCAGCTAGACCAATTTGGGGTGCCAATTTTAGGTGTTTTGTGAATTGAGGCCCCTCTGCTTGATGACCTTTAGATCATTATCTTAATTCACACAACTTCCAGTGACATGGTAAATTTGTAAACTGATGAAGAATGAAAAGACATCTCATTTCACCCCAAAACTGTTATTTCCATTCTGTAACCATTTATTGTTGTGGAATATTAATTTAACTGAGCAAAGATATATAACATTTATTTGTGCTGTAGAATATTACTTTAACTGTTTAAAGGTGTGTTACATTTGTTTATGCTGCATTTGTTTAATGATATAAGAATATATGTTAAATTATGAAAAGAATGTGTTGTATTTGTTTTACCTTGCCTGCCTAAGGCACCTGATTGATCTAATAAAAAGCTGAATGGCCAGTAGGTAGGCAGGAGAAAAGGTAGGCAGTTCTGGCAGGCAGAGAGAATAAATAGGAGAAATACAGGCTTTGGAGAGGAACAAGAGGAGGAGCAGGAAAGAGCAAGGAAGATGCCTGGATTCAGAAGCCAGGTAACTGCCAGACAGGCACAAGAAGCAGTGAAAGTAAAATATACAGAAGGAAAGAGAAGTAAGAAGTCTGAGGCAAAAGGTACATACAAGAAACAGGTTAAGTTAAAAGAGCTAGCCAGAAATGAGCCTTAGCTAGGCCTAGCATTCAAAGCTAATAATAAGTCTCCATGTCATGACTTGGGAACTGGCTGGTGGCCTTAAATAAAAAATCCATGTACATTTGGCATTCCAAGCTGAGGCCTGAATTTTGACATAGGGCCTAAGAAAGCTAAGAAGAAAAAAAAAAGGATATGGCTCCTTAAGAGGCTTTGCTCTACTGGTATGCTAAATAGAAACAAAAAGCTAAATAAAAATGCCAGCCACAGCACAGGCACTAGCATCACAGAGGTGGGGGAGGTTGAATGTAGTTCCCAGTCACACACCTCCCAACTAGTCTGTGAACTTAAGGCTTAGTTCTTTTAGACCCAAGTAGCAGGCAAACCAGCTACCAAAATCATGATTGGATGACCCAGCAGTAGCTTAGCAGTTTAAACTTTTGCTCGTGGAGACAGAAAATGATAGAGATATGCAGTAAAAACCGGTTCAGTTTGGAAAAAAAATTCTAAACAGGTTCCAGTGTGTTTAAAAAATGTGCATAGGCTTAAGAAAGAAAAAATGGTATAGACACTCACAGAAAAAGTAAATAGTTTATAAATAATAAAAAAAGAATAAGCCACATACAGATGGGAAATACACAGGGAATCTGTATCTTGTGTGGTGTTGTATTGACTTTAAATTTTTGAATGCAATGAGCAAACAACAGCTGCGCAGAGACATGGGGCTGTAGCAGGGACTGATGAAATAAACCATCTTAGATACTTAGGAATGCGTTAAGTTTAAAATGGAAGTCAGAAAATGTTTTGCTTTGGGAAAGAGGTTATGGAAACAAAAGACTATGGATCCATTCAAGGTTGTAGAGATCAGGTTTGATCAGGAAAGACACGCTGAAAATCCTGGCTACAGATATAAAGAAATAAACCTCGAAAAACTGCAAGACAGGTGACATATTTTACCTGATCAAACATAAAACAATAAATCATCTTTGGCAGGCTTGTGCACATTGCACAGTCAATACTTGTGTTAATGCAGATGTGTATGATACTTTTGAAAGGTTGTATGTTTTCAGAGCCAGGGGACTAGACACCAATGAAAATGGATGGCCCAGGTGATCCAGCCTTTCAGAGTGCCCCTGTTGCAGTTTCCTCAAAGTTCTACATCCATAACAGCTTCAAGAATACTAACTGAGATGGTCCAGACTCACAGACTAGTCTAGCCAGGACTGCAGATAATCATTGTGCTTTCCCATTGCACAGAGACTGGACAAAAAAAGTTATAGCTAGTTTTCCCAGGACTTGACAATTATCTCAATTTTCTCAGACTACCTAAAGATGCCTTTGTCCTCAAACAGCAGGAAGCAGTCTAGAAAACACAATGCCCAAATTTCCAAGAGGTAGGGTGGATGGTTTTTGCTTATTTGATGAGTTATGGACATTTGTCATCATTTAGGAGGAGTCTAGGAATACAGGATAAAAAGACAATTATTAGCCTCAATTATTTTATATTGGTATGGATTTTGGCATATTGATAAAAAATTAAAGTTATTTTTGTTATACAATATGTATTTTTCCACTCTTGTTTGGGGTAGTGTGTAATGCGAGTGATCCATGGGAGTCTGCTTAAAGGGTGTCAGGGAACGTATTAAGATATAAGTTGGGAGAATGCACTCAAAAAATAAAGAACCGACTAAACAGCTGAAGTTGGAACTATAACCAACAAGAACAACATCAAGTAAAAAACACACTAAGTGTTCAGATCATAAGTAATGGGAAATTGCAGAGATTATTCAAAAAAGCTGCCCTATCCTGAAGAATCTGAACCTAGTACCTAATATCCTCTTAGTTAATATACAAGAGGATTGTAACTGTAACTCTCAAGTCTTCAACCCCATCAAAAACCTGAGAAGGAAAATAATATTACCCGAGTAAGCAGGAAGTGCAAGCAAGCAACTTCTGAAAAAAATGCAAGAAATAACAGAGACAGCTGGCTGCCTGAACAGTCACCTAAAGTTTCTCTGCAATACTGGGGCATCCACTTTTGGCTACAGGCCTATAATATCTGATAGATCATTTTCAGAAGCAAGATAGTTGAAAGACCATCTTACTCTGTCTTTTATTTTTTTTCGGAGCTGAGGACTGAACCCAGTCCTCTACCACTCAAGCACTCTACTACTGAGCTAAATTCCCAACCCACCATCTTACCCTGTCTTGGCAAGGTTCATCAGTTGCTTTTCCTTATGTCCTGATTGTCCTGAAAGGACAGTGTGCTTGCTGTCAGCAGCTGAGGCAAGGGTAGTTCTTTGTCCAACAGGCCATTTTTTGCCAGGGAGAAGACAAACTTAATATGGAGTGCCTTTGATACCCAACATCTTCTTGGGAGTAGATCAGTGCTGCCATGAGCAATTGTGTCTCACATCAAAAGAATTCTAAGTTATTAAAGCATTTAAATGCCATATTCTCTAGGTATATGAAGTGTTTGAAGATTACCTATCTATCCAACATATATTTCTGTATATCTAGAAAACCCAACTAACATAACTATAAATATGACAAACATGGGTGAATATTAACCTGTAAATCTTATCACCCTAAATAACTTAAAGACTAAGACTTCACATTATAAGAGTAAACAACCTGTAAACAGATGTACAGTATAAAGACAATGACCTTGAATTTGTGACAATATACAAAATATCTTAATCAGAGGTAGAAATGTATAGTGCAATATGACAATAATATCCTTAATATGTATTAATATACAAAATATCCTGAACAGAGGTAGAACAGACATACAGTTTGACAAATATAATTTTACATTTGTATCAATATACAAAATATTTCAAACAGGACTAGGAACATATGTACAATATGACAAATACAGTTTTGTATTTGATTCAATATGGAAATTATCTTAAACAGGAATAGAACAATAGTTTTACATTTGTATCAATATACAAGAATCCATACCAATGCAAATTATCTAAAGCTGATAGTTATTTAGTTTTCAAGTATATACAATAATCTACCTTATATATCCTCTCCTATCTATTCCCCCTTTTTCCTTTCCAAAAGAGAATCCCAAGTCTAAAATTTATTGTTCCATCCCCAACTCTATTACAACTTATAAACAACCCCTAACAGATAACAATTATCCATAACCCTGAGAAAACAAAACCTTCTGGGGAGGTGGCATCATTTTCTTAAAATTGCATCCTACTGTCTAGAAGGCAATAATATCTCTGTAGGATCTTGTACAAAAACTAAAACAATGGATAAGCCTCATAAGGACTAGCTGTAATGTTTGTAGTGAGTCTCAGAGTAATGGGCAAAGCTTACTTGAAGTTTTGGCTAGAGGTGTAAGATGATGGATTATCTTAGCCACTTTGGAAATGTCCTTAACAGTTTGTAGTCCTGAGCCAATCTTTGAGTGGTGTCTTTCAGCTCAATGGCATCATTATGAACCAGGTAGAATCATTGTTGTGGGGCCCCTTATTTCTTCTGGAGGTTTCATAGATAACTATTAGGAGAATTTATTGTTCACTGTGGAAAACTTAAATATTATTAATACTAAAATGGAAAGTTTAAATTTTAGGATATCACTATATCTAAAGAAAGGTTCAAAACAGTCAAGAATAAGTATGGGGAGAAATAGAATTTTGACAGCAATAATCCCTAGATTTTTTGTTTTCTTCTGTCCCACACCAGGAGGCTCTGCTGATATGAGATAGAATTTAATTTTTTCTTTTAACATGCATGGGTTTAGAGCATAAGAGAGCCACACTCCAATTCCAAAGCCAGCTTTGATTATTATTGAGTCAGGACTACAACATTTCTAGAAGCAAAGATATATTGATGTTTAGGCAGCGAGATGTTACCCTGTAGAGTATATTGGTACCAATATGTCTGATTATTCTTGTAAATTCTTTCTTGATAGCCTTCCCTTCTGCTTTAGACATCTAGATGTCCAAGGAATTTTGACTTCTTGAAGATGGGTTTTTCTGTTATCCCATAAAGACAAAAGCCAGAACCCTGCCCTGACCCTTGTTTGGTGAGTTTTTCTTACAACTTGTAGAATTGTCACATTGGATGAGCTATCATTTCTCCTTATTAAGAGGTTTCTCCTGTTTGAATCACATTTTTATTAATTTTAATGGTATCTGTAGCTTTTCTTTTTCTGTAGAAAGAAAAATGAAACCCCTTCCACAATGTAGCACATATCCTGGTTTCCATTCTGAGATCAACACATCTTTGAAGTACACAGGCTGATTTGACTCACTAGATTTTTCAGTTATTCAATGTCTCTCTGAAGCTGTTGTTCCTTTCTCATCAGCATTCAGAAAACTCATTTTCTGAATGAAAAGGCATTATGCAATCTATCTTTGGGGGGTTTGCTCCCCCTTTCTCTTTATAAAGCATTTCTTTTAAAGTGCAATTAGATCTTTCTACAACTATTTGTTCTGTCGGATTTTGTGGTATACCTGTAACATGCTTTATATTATAATAAGAAAAAAACTATTTCATTTTACTGTAGACATATGCTGGAGCATTGTCAGTATTAATTTGTACAGGCATACCCATTATGGCCATGACTATTAATAGGTGTGAAATTACAGAATCAGCCTTTTCAGAACTCAAGGAAGTTGCCCATTGAAATCCTGAAAATGTATCTATTGTATGGTACATGCAAAATGAAGCACATTCATCTGACAAATTATATTTTTTGTGTGTGTACATTTAGGATTGCTTCCTGCAGGTAATGGAGTTTAGATATAGAAGGAGCAAGTAGGACATTTTTTTTTACAATTTCCTTAGCTAGTTGCCAAGTTATAGAAAAGTCCTTTTTTAAACCTTTGCTATTGACATGAATTTTTTTTTAATTCTGAGGCCTTCAGCACACATCCTATTAATAATCAATCAATTTCATCATTACCTTTTCCTAAAGAACCTGGCAGACCTGTATGGGACCTGATGTGTGTTAGATAAATATAGGATGATACCTGTTTCTGACTATTTCCAGTAATTGTATAAATAGCAAAGTTAACTCTGTTTTATCAGGAATAAATTCAGCAGTTTCAATATGTAAAACAACTCTTTATGCATATTGAGAGTCAGTGAATATACTAAGAGGCTCTTTAAAGTACATTAGTACCATAAGAACGGCATACAGTTCTTACTTTTGTACAGAATTGCAAGGGCTTTGAACCACTTTACTTAAATTCCTTGATTTATATCCTGCATTTTTTGTTTTATTAGCATCCATATAGAATATTGGGACTCCAGATATTGGTTTTCTCTATACAATGTGAAGAAGGACCCAACTGGTCCTTTTTATGAATTTTATTCTCTCACTTTGGGGATAGCAGTTGTTAATTTTTCCCAAAAAGTTACTGCAAGTTTATTATCTTTCCATTAAGAGGATATTTTTCACTAGTTAAAGGTACTACATTTCTGCCAGATCCATTCCTATCAATTGACAAAGTCTTAATTTTCCTTTTAAAATCAAGTCAGAGACCTTTTCCACATGTCTTTAACTTCTTACTCAGTTTACATGGTAGGAATATCCATTCCAATATAATATCTTCCCTCTGCATCAAAATCCCTGTAGGGGAATGTCTGGAAGGTAATATGACTAGAATGCAGTTAAGCTCTGGATTCACATGATCCACACATGCCTCAGATATTTTCTTTTTTTAATAGGGCCAATTCCTTCTCAGCTTCAGCTGATAATTCTCTTGGACTATATAAGTCCTTGTACCCTTGTAGGGTATTGGCCAAATTTACTAGTCCATCTTTAGGTACTCCAATGATAGTCTGTAAATTGGAAATGCTTCCTAACCATCCTTGAAAATAATTAAGTCTGTAATTGATCTCTCGTAAGTTGTACCTTTTGGAGTCTAATTTTTTTTAGATCTATCTTATATCCTAACTAATTAAATCTCCTCTTTGAATTTTTTTTCAGGAGCAATTTGTAATCTCTAGCAAGGCAAGTCTTTCTTTACTTCTTCAAACATGCTTTCTAAAGTATCTAACTTTAGATCAGCTAATAAGATATCATCCATATAATGGTAAATTATAGATTGTGGAAATTGCACATAAATTATTTCCAATGGTTTTTGCATAAAATATTGGCACAGGGTGGGGCTTTTTAACATTACCTGTGGGAGGACCTTCCATTGATAGCTCTTGATTGGCTGGGAATTATTATAAGTAGGTACTGTGAAAGCAAATTTTTCTCTATCCTTTTCTTGCAGAGGTATGGTTTAAAAAAAGTCTTTTGGCCAGGCGGTAGTGGCACATACCTTTAATCCCAACACTTGGGAGGCAGAACCAGGTGGATCTCTGTGAGTTCCAGGCCAGCCTGGGCTACCACGTGAGTTCCAGGAAAAGGCACAAAGCTACACAGAGAAACCCTCTCTCAAAAAACAAAAAACAAAACAAAATAAAAAAAAGTCTTTTAAGTCACTAACTGTAATAGGCCATTCTTTCAGTAACAGAAAGAGATGGTGATGGCATCCCATTCTGTAGGGATTACATAGGCTGAATTATTTTATTAGTGGCT